TTCTCACATCTCTGTTTTGTCTTTTCAGTCTTGTAAGTGTTGTTTGTAAATCTTTGGGTATGAAATTACTTTTCAAATGTGTTTGTACAGCACCTAACACAAAGATCCCAATCTCATTCAAGCCTCTGGGTGTTGCTGTAGAGCGTTGAGTGAATTGGTATTATTTTTATAGTAATGGAAGTATTTCTTGAGGTATTTGACCTTAAATAAAGTGGAGAAAAAATACTTAAATAGCTTAAATAACAGGCATGATGGAATAGGGATGGTTTGATTCCTTGGGAGACTTAGGTGCTGTTGAACACTGGATCCTTTCCATGTATTTCCGTCTTGTGCTCTGATGCGTGCAACAGTGGTTTCATAAATGAATTTAAGCCACAGTAAGTCATAGCAGTATCTTATCAAGTTGTCTTCGATTTGCTTGAAGGTATAGTTCATATTTTATAGCAGTATTCTTTACATACTGAATTTTGTCTTTCCATGAAAGAACCCTCTTGTGAACATAATGCTGATTTTTGTTCTTCTGTAGTACAAACCAGTTAGTTGGGTGTGCTTTTCCTTTTAATTACACTTTGTTCTCAACACTGATTGGATTTTACCACTTTTGCTGAATGAAAATCTCCTGTATAAATTTTAAGGTCCCTTTAAAAAAAAAAAAAATCTGTGTTAAAAGCCAAGTGATTTTAGGGTTTTGTTTGTGGGCTCGCTGCTGGGGAGGAAAGGGCATAAAACGGTGACAATTTTTTTTCCTCCTGCTTGATAAGTGTAGGGGGGATTTATGTTGTATATCACAACCAGCAGCTATTCCAAGAAAAATCTTTAAGATGGTTACTTGGATCTGTGTACACTGCCCACCTGGTGGTTATGGAGTGAACTGTTACTTTAAAGAATAGTTTAAACAACAGCCATGTTTGGGGCAGGCTAATCTTGCAAAGAGAGCAGTACATATAACAGGAGTCTACAGTGTGATAAGGGGAAAATTCAGCTCACTGACTAGATGTTTTAATGTGCGAACTCTAGGGAAATAACATATTGACTATTCTGTTGTGCGCAAGAAAATTGAAGAACCCTTTGCAGACAGAGGGCTTGCAAAGGATTCTTTCTGTTTCTCTTAACCAAAATCTGTGGCAAGATGTTTGAAATCAGCAGGACGCTTAATGCTGCTTTGTTAAATAATGAGGTAATATTTTGTCACTTTTTCTGGGCAGCATCTGTTTTTTCTCCTTTTTCAATATGTTGGTGAAGGATTCAGTTTAATCTTATGCAAGTAAGATTTTTTTTTTTTTTAAATCATTCTTCAATTTATTATTTTTTTCCTTTTGATGCTTTTGGAGAATTGGGTTGTCTTTTATTTGCGGTTTCAATCGGCTGCTGTTGCCTAGGACATTATGCCACGTAAGGCTTCTAAACTGCACAGAGTAGGTAGTTATTAACGCTGAATTGGCTTCTGGTATAGTCCATCTGGGCTCTGTATGAGAGAGCTTGCTAGCGGCTACTGATGCTAAGATACCCGCAACCTTTGGGATGTATGCGTGGTGGAGAGGGGCTCAGTGATATGAGATCACTTCTTTTAAGGGAAACTGTCATTAATGAGTCAAGAAACTGCTCATTTATGGTAAGGAGAGGGAGGGGGGGGCTGGGAAACAACCCTGTGATTTCATTTTGATATTGGATTAGCTGTTTAAGACAAGTTTCTTTTTGTGGGGATGGAAGATTGCACTAAAAATATGCTTTGCTCAGGGGCTTGCTGGCTGATGCTGGAGAGACTGTATAGAGAATCTGATGCTTTACAAATGTCACCACCGTGATGCGGTGGTCAGTCCCTTTCCCTGAAAGATAAATGGTACTATTGGAAACACGAGAATAAGGTTGACTTTTTCAACAATAGGATTCTGCCTTTGTCTTTCCAGAGAGAGGCCTCTGAGGATGTTTGAGCATTTGTTTTAGTGTTTCTTGGAAAGGCTGCGTGTGTGGGGTGCTTTTTGGGAAAGTGGTCAGTGTGCAGAGTACCTGGATTTATAGACGGATAAGATTAGCTAATTTTTTAGAGGAGCAGCGTGCGATTATTGTTTCAGAAAAATGGCTGAATCTTGATATGCATAACGAATTTATAGTAACAAAGTAGGCTGAAGTTGAAAATACTTAAAAATACTTTCTGGATGCCTTCTCTGGTGTTATTAACCCCTGAAGAGACCTTAAGTAAAAAATATGCATTACAAATCTAAGTTTAATATTTGGTGTATGTTTGCACAAGAATCTATGGTAATATACTAGCTGTTGTAGCATTTTGATGTCTGTGTGTTCAGTTTAATGGGTTACCTAAATTTGAGTTAGGAAATGCATCTTACAGGCTAGTTTAATCTAAGCTAGTTTTTACTAAGCTGCAAATGTGCTCAGAAAGATGCGTGGTGAGAGAAATCCTCTGCAGCCTTTCACATTGTTCATATTTTAATTGAATTCAGTGCTCATTCCACAAATAGATTGTATGATGTTTTTTAAATGTGATTTTTCTCCTTGCTTGGTTTGTGTATAGCTGGATTTTATGAGCTTTACTACATTTCATACGTTTTATTGGTGTGTTTAGTCTCTGTGTGTGTTTGAGCGTGTCTATGGTTTAAAGAAATTTAAAATGTGCTGAATGTCAGTCCCCAGCTTAGCAGTGTGGAGGGAATATTTATACTTTATTAAAAATGAAACTTGTAGAACAATGATTTTATTTGATTTACATGTTTTGGAAATTATTTTGGTGGTTTGTAGTCAGATTTTCTTTCTCTAGGAAAGAGCTAAGTGAGCTTATAACGTGGCCCATCCTAGCTTTCTTGGTTTTCAGCTCTTACATTTAAAAACGCTTGCAGTGATACTGAATTTAAAAATATATATATATATTTAGTTGTTGAAATGAATCTGTGGACAGTAAAACTAAACGATCCTGTGTGTATTAATAGACTAATACTCGGTTGCTTTAGTTGAGATAAATGTAATTACAACAAACCTTGAATTTACAGAGTGCCATGCCTTGTTACTTTGGATAAAACATGCTTTAGGAAAATACCTCTCAAGTAAAGAGAAATGAATGCTTCCTAACTTGTGAGAATTCTTAAAAAACTTGCCGTGGTCGGAAGGGGGTGAAATATTGCTGTTTGGAAGTGAAGTTTTGTTAGTTTGTCAGTGGCAGCGAGCGGAGGATTAATGAGTGTGCATTGTTAAGCACGTTTCTCTAAGGCTGGAAAAGAAAATTCTTTTAAATGCCCGAAGTTTGCTGTCGTTTTATTTCCTGTCGAGTTGAAGAATAATGAAGCGAGGTGGCAAAATAGTACTGAAATACTACTGTCGTTCGGGGGGAAAGCCCGATAAAGAGGTGTCTGCTGTGCCTTAGACATTGTCAAGTGGCAGCAACATCAAATCCACTCCTTTAAAAATACGTATTTTAAAAAACCTCACCGCGTGGAAGGAAGGAGAGATGGGCTGATTATTAAAATCAATAGTACCTGAAAATAAATGCAGCTTTAAATGCACGTCAAAGTGCTTTTGTTGTGCCTTTAAGCCTAGAGGCAGATCATTAAATATGCATTTCTCCGGAAAGCAACTGTCGAAAAAGATAAGGTGGTTAAAATACGCCGGACCTGGGAGCGGGGCGCGCAGGAGGTAAGGAGATGTAGGCACTGGAGCATGGCCGAGGTACGGCACCGCCGGGCCCAGGGGTGGGAACGGGGAACCAAAAAAAAAAAAAAAAA